TCCCCATCAAGCAGGAGAAGAACACCACCAGTCCTTCAAGTCATAAGTTGTCGATTTCTCAACTGCTGCGTGGTGCGTTTCATGTTGCTGTATCACTTCCTTGCTAACAGTTTTGCTAGGCCAATTTGACAGGTCTCCTAAATGTCCTCATTTTGATGACTCTGACCCAGATGATATCATGATGCAACATTTTCATGCTGGCACCATCGTTGTTCCTTCAACCAAGATGCTCAAGCCGCACTCATCGAAAGATAAGGCTCATGCAAAGGGCTCCTTTCAAGGCCACAACTGTAAAGTTAGAGCCAGTTAGCACTCCGCCAGCTGCAATTGAGCCTTTTGCAGCCAGTACACAACTTGAGCAGATGATCGAGCTGTCGCAGCAGCTCCTCGAGGAGAATTGGGCCTTGAGGGCTCACAAGCCATGATATCATTGTCATGCAATGAGTTTGGACTGGGTCGATGCAAAGCGGGCTGTCCGCATATTCCTTCATATCTCTATCGTGATCTCTCCCTCTGTGTGCGTGGAGCAAATGTATTAGTTAGTTTTCTTGAATACACAGTGTGCTGAACCTTGCATGAGCTATCCTGACCAAAATATTAAAAGAGGTGTCGTGGAATATTATAGTCTTGTTTGAGTCCTTGACTCTCTTGAGTCCCTAGCTGAGTCTTCACCTATATACGATCAAAAAAATTAGTTTGAATGCCCATACTTGTTTATTCTGCCTCGTTTGCATTGTACAGATCTTGCCATCCTTCATTTTCATCTCCTGACTCCTCTTCTTCTTGTTCTTCATCCAGTTCTTCTTCTTCTCGATCATCTGACTGATGCATCTCCTTCAACCTGGTTTCTGATGCATCTAACATTTCTTTTGTGATTGCAATCTTCTTCCTCAGGGCAAATGGAACCACCCTAAATGCTGCAATCAGTCAGTCCAATACTGCTCCATCCAGCTTGCAGAGTATATATGCTCCTCCCTGATTGCGAAACAGCACAATATACGGTCCCATATAGCATGGTCTCATTTTTCGATTGAGTGCTTTCTCGATCTGCATATGCTGAACCAAGACTAGGTCTCCATGCTTAAAATCAAAATCCTTGATCACATTCTTGTAGACTCACTCGAATCACCTCACTGCTTCTTTCCTGGCTCATAGACTGCATTGTGGATTCTCGTGACTTGTTCTCGACGCTTTTGTAGTGCTTCTGCTTGACTCGCGATCAGGTCAGTCATTGTCACCATTCCAACTGGTGCTGGAATCAAATATGTTGCTTCGACGATGTCGAGTGATAAGACCAGATAAGTGCCCATGACAGCGAAATAGGGCGAACAACTCATGCATCTTTTGATGGTGACTCTTTTCGATCAGAATACTGAATGCGTGACTTGATCCCATTTGTGCTCCTCTCCATCGGCAGCCTTGAATAGACCTTGCCAAACATCGAAATGTGATCGCTCAACTATCTCATTCATGTGTGAGTTATAACCACTTATCCGAATGTGCTTGACATGATATTTCCTTTTCAGATAGTCGGCTGCTTTTACGAATGGTGCGCCATTGTTGGTAACGATTTTTGATAGCACTCCCCAGTAACAGAGTATATCCTCAAAAATCCAATTGCCAAGGATCTTCACAGTTTCTGCTCGAAGCATTTAAAACTCCAGGTAATGAGTGAGTGAACACCGACCCTGTACGATGTACTTAAATCTGTTCGAGGGTGGCATATGCATGGTGTTGATGTATATCTTCGCAAAGATGGGGGCTGGTATCGCAACAGTCAGTGGTATGAGAATTTGATGAATCTGTCACTTCTGACATATGATGCAAGTTTTTATGAACCAAGCGATGTCAGCCGTGACATTAGGCCACCAAAATCATTCGTGAATTAATGATCAAGTCAGGAAAATGCCTCGGTGTCCTAGCTCATCATGTGCTCCAGCGAGGACTCATAGTCAGTTTTCTGGTAATAAGACTAACTTGTGCGATCCTTGTCCATCTTTCCTTCAGAGATGTCTATCTCTCTTAAAGAAGTGAACTGCATACTTGAGCATCCGATCGTATTCTTTGTCTGAGTAATCTTCTGATCATAATGAAAAGGGTGCATCAGCGGATGACACTGTCACAGTATATTAGCATTTTCCTATTCAGAAAGCCCTACTGTAACTGGACTTAAGCAGTGTTATCAAAGCCAGCCACAAAAGCCATGTGACATCATTGATGATCAGCTAAACGCTCAAGGATCTTATTGATTGTGGGCGCCAATCACCACATCACGTGACCCACAAGGTAGCACCCTATCAAGCGCCCCTGGCACGTGACCTTAAGAGATGCCCAAGCACATGACATCCTGATAGCCACTCAATAGGCTCAGGCATAGGCATGGGACACCGAGGTCTGGATTGGTAAGGAGGTCGGCCTTATACCTCATGGCTGAGATGGCACCCCAACGGCATGCCGCATGGACCATGACCTTATCTATAAGTCTATGGCCCACCAATGACCACATAGTATTTACTAGTAGGTACATTGCTATTGGCTGTAGCACATTATGTAATATGCACATGTAGCTTGCTAGGACCCCAGTAGGTACACATAGTTAGAGTGACCAGGGTCCAGCCCTACATGTATATATATGCACTATGCGACTGAGGTAGCCCTCAGTCTTATTCATCTATTTCTCTCATCCATCGTGGCTTGCCACAACCCTTCATCCCTGAGTCAGCTTGATAGTAAGGCCTATCACCACTCACTTGTCCTTAGCCTATCATTGGCTAATAAGGGGCTCACCACCCTTTTATGATGGATCTGAAGTCATCACTTCAAGTGGGACCCTGAGGCCTTACAAGGCACTCAGTATAAAGGTCATTCATGAGCGGGTCATGTGTGAAGCATCCACGAACATCATGTTACGTGTGGCAAAGCTTAGCCATGACAGACACCAACAACTCTGGATGGTGGCTTTGAGTGAGAGCACTGAAAATATACAATAAGTTTTGTTTGGCTAGATACAGATGGGAGGACAGATGTACCATCAAAACCATCACACTAGCTCAATCCTGAATAGCAGCTCTGGATCAAAGGGGAGCACCAAGAACAAACAATAAGCTGCTCGGCTAAATGACATGAAACACTCGGAAAACATCCTTTGATCTTTAGCAGGTCCTGGTGACTCTGGATGGTGATGGCAGCAGATTGGCAGTACTGGATGACGATCTTCATGATGCTCCAAACAAACAATAACCACCTACATCACTGGCGGGAGGACGGACATACCATCAGGATGATCAGCCTAATTCACATATGCTACCAGTGAAGGGGCAGGCTGTGTACGATGCATGGGATAAATGGGTGGATCATGATGATGCGCATCGCTGTCGGGCTTTCACTGTGTATGGAAGTGGTCCACGCAGTTCACAGATACGGGGGAGATCAGTGCTCAATCGTGACATGAAAGGGCAGACACACCTAAGCCTTCAGACTGCATACTCTGATGTTGTGCCTGACTCCAATTATACATGTATTATCCTCCTTCACTGCAGAAACTTCACCTATGCTGGGTGATGCGATCCGTTAAGTGACCCATTGAGCGACCGACATGAGTAGTGCTTCCTGCACTGATGATTCCTTATTTCTGTATTTATCTTTTCTCTCTGATTCAAGATGGGTCATAACACAGTCATGATGCAGTTGTCAATGGTCGTTCTACACAAGTCTATGCTAACGTCCAAGCGAATGTCCATGGCTAACGGTCCAAGCTAATGTCCATGCTAAGTCTACACTACATTGAGTCCATTAGCTACTACATTATTATGCTAAGGTGCATGCACAAAGAAAGCCTAGGAAGTGGAGCAGAAGTGAGAGAGAAGAGGCATCCATAGCGGATCTGCAAATAATTGAAAGGCTCTAGTTTAGGGCTGGTCTGATGGAATTTTTGACGGAGCGCCCACTGCCTATTTGAGATGCACAGCCACTGCTCGTTAGAGGTGCCCACTGCCTATTTGAGATGTGCAGCCACTGCTGCAGCAGTGGCCTGAGTGCTCTGAAAAATACCATCAGACTGACCCAGAGCCCCACTTTGGTAGAGCGCCCAGGCCACTGTAAAAGTGACTGTGCATGGCTGCATGTCTCAAATAGGCAGCTCTGGCTTTTGCATACAGAATATACTAGAATTATGAAGGTCACCTTCATCTGCTACCGAGTATTTTATATATGTGATGGTTTTATTTTCAAAAATGTATGATTACATTCAACAGCACTGAAAATTTAAATTTATTTGATATTGGGCATTTTTATATGTGCAATGTTTTGAAATTCAAAAATGTATGTATAACATTCAACAGCACTCAAATTTTAAATGTCCTTGGTGAGTTTGAAAATGGTGTCATTTCTCAAAATATATGAATTAAATTCCTTTCTCTAAAATATTATATGCAAATACTTAATACAGAATGTGGGAAGGAACCATAGCAAATCGAGATCACAAAGGCAAAAAACCTGTAGACATTTGCTAAGCATTTGCCACGTGTGCAAATCGCTTCGTGTCTATGGTGTCTACAATTGCACAATGCAGGAGTGTGATCTCTGGGACGTCCTGCAAATCTTCGGTGGCCTTTGCAAGCTCATCAAGTGTTTGACAGTGGTCGAACTGCATGTCAATCCAGGGTTCCGGCCGAGGAAGGATAGCAAACATATCAGCCATTTAGGGTGAGTGAGGGGGGGCAAGAAAATGATCTGGGATCTCGGGCATAGGCTGGCATCCCACATGACAAATACACGGTAATGTGACTAAATGTGCAAGTCATGACACCATCGTGCGATGCAGCTTATACGCATCCATTCTGAGCTGCAGTGCATACAAAAAAAATGCTTCTAGATAATAAAAAGATAAAACCTCTAACACAATGTATAAACTGTCTATGGTTTTGCAAATCGGCATTCAAGAAATTGACTCCGGATACTATCTTACACCATTGAAACCCCTTTTGGGAAAGCGGACAACAATGTCTCCGCAGTGCACGCAGTTGAGCGGCGTCTGTGGATCGCTTCACGTCTCCGCTAGCAGCCCTCACCATCTTTTACATATGGCTGACACCGTAGCTCTGAACCGTTCACGGGTCAAAGCATTGCCGATGAAGATCAGTCCACAACACAGCACTTCAAGTCCTCGCAAGACACCCCACTGCAAGACGTGTCAGCGGTCTCGTGCTGGCCACCCACGCTCAGGGTGCCCCTATACTGACTCTCTCGCTCCTGGAATAAACTCGCTCGAGGCGCTCCAGATTGATTCCTCTATTGACGAGAAACATGGACGACAACCATCGAAGTCACCAGTGCCCCACACAAGCATCGCAAGGGACGACAGTCCGCCATGGAGGCCCTCCACTCCCAAGGCTGAGCAATCACATCACACCGCCAAAGCGTGCTCTCTGGGTCACAAAGTTGGCCAAGACGAGCAACACATGTTCTTCGATCGGGCAAGATTGACTTTAGAGGGATCTGTGGTCATCTTGAAGCACCCAAAGGATGGTATTGCCGATCTTCTCGCCGAGGCAAAGACGGTTGGACTTGCTGCAGAGGTGATTGGCTCGCTGGGCAAAAATAGTCGGTTGGTGGTGTTTGGGAGAGATGGGGAATTGTTGAGCAAAGTCGGGCATGTCGGAGGTTCGAAGAAGGAGGCTGTCGACAAGGTGTGCGAGAACGAGGTGAAGAAGGGGTGCTATTCAGCACTGGTTGTTGGTGGGGCAGGCACAGTGGTCGGTGCTGTGGCTACCTGGATGGCACTGGCCTTCTTATGAGGGAGAGGGTACTGAAAGAGTGGTGAGTGGTATGTCTGTCTCTGCAGAGCTTTTCTCACGTATTTACAATGCAGACTTCGTTGCTTTTTTCGTTCAGATTTGCCTGTATTATGGCTTGTGTGTCGCCCGACACGCTGACACTCATGCCTCATGCCTGGCCATGTCCTGGCCGAGCGATGGGTGCATGTGGTTGGCTCTCAGTAAAACGGGTCACCCTCTATTTTTTGAACGGATGAAGAAGATGTATGCATCGGAATCAAGGTTCCATGACTGGAGTGATCGAGTCGCTGAAAGAATTGTGAAGTTAAAGCAAGGGGACAGGTTGGGTAGAGATATTCGCTGACAGCCTTAGTTACAGTTGCTGAGGCAGAAGTTCTCACGAAAGTTTAAAACATGTAGTGTCCCTATGGTCCCTGGTCGACAACATGACATGGTCTGATGCGAATATTTTCGCGAGGGACGACGAGTGAGATAGACCCTGGCCACTGTGGTGCCATGCAGGTCGAGCATCTAACCCTGAACATAATGTTTGCATCGATGGAATATATTGCGCTTGAGATTATCGGAACGAAGTGAGCATCCTATCACGTCAGTGAACCATCGCTCTGATGTTACTTCTCAAAGAACGGACACTGTTGTGATTGCTTCATCGCGGCGGTCTACACCACTGTACATACAATGAAGGGGACAATACAATTTGTCCGAGGCAAGAAAAACTTGTATCATGCGACATGTACGTAAATAGCAGGCTACAAGATCATATACTACACAGATGGATAAGGAAGACGAGAATCTTCACGGACTTTGACGGCATGCGCACAGGGAAAGCAAGAAAACATGGACAGTGAACGAAAATATATGAAAAAAGCAGCACAGTAAGTCCAGCATTGATTCAGCTTCCAAAGCAAGAGAGAGCATAGCAAAACCAAAACAAGCGTTCGTAGCACTCTTCGTTATTCATGCGATCGGCACATCCTGTGGCAGTTCTGCATGCACAGCTCGACCACACGGAATTCTCAAGATCAGGATACCATCTTCCATGATCGCATGAACATCCTGAATCTACACGGAAATCACACTCAGCAAGGGACGAAACCACGTCGCAAGCAGCAGCACCACACTCACTGAAGTCTCAGGCGGGACGGCGATGCTCCTCACGAACTCACCAGACTTGCGCTCACACACCGTGTGCCCACGATCGGGTGAAAGCAACTGCCGCGAGGTTCCCGATACCGTGAGCAGCTTTGCGCGGCTGTAGGGACAGGTCGCGAGGGTGATGTGCACGTCGGTCTTCTTTACGCCGGGCAGCTCGAGCATCGTGAGCAGGACATTCGACAGTAAATCATACTGCATGTCTGTGCAGACGTTGAAGCACTGCGTGATTACGGGCGGCACAGCAGGGAGGTTGCTCAAGCCCTGAAGGTCCAGGTCGGGCAAGGTGGGTGTTGTGGCAGTCAGGCTTTACGAGTCAGGTAGAAGACAAAACGAGGCGCAAGATGAAAATCTGGTCAATGTATATACTCAGAGAGCAGAACGTACCTGTTGGACCTTGATGTCCCACTCACACTCGGTAATCTCAGCAATTCATCTCTTCACAAATTCACAGCGGGACACGAAACAGCCAACCCGGCCGCAGGTAAGCTCACTGCTCTCGCGCTGCCACTAGCAGCACGAGCCCGAGGCCCAGCCTCAATATTCAATGCAGGGTGCATCTTCGCATCGGCAGGCGATAATCGCAGGTCTGCACATCCTGCTGCCGATTCCGATTCTGGGCGGCGATACGGGTGGACTCCCTGAGCATGTTGCCCAGGCGCAGAATGCATGGGCAGCGTGCTCGATGTGGTCAAGGCTCCAGGACTGGAATGCGCAGAGCAGGTTGCGCTCGTGCGTCGTGAACTCGGCGGCGCTGACGCATGGCCTTCGTTCTCCGTGAGCTGCATGTACTCTTCTTGCGTGATGGTGTCGAAGCGATATCGGCCGGTTGGAATGCGTTCTGGGACGTGGATCATCTGCGATGGTTGGTATGCAGATTGTTGTTGTTGTTGCTGCTGCTGCTGCTGTTGTTGCTGTTCTTCCCATGGTTGCGAGGGCTCCTGCAGTTGTTGATATAATGGTGGCGAGATTGGAGTCAGCAGATGCTGTTGTTGACATACGGGTTGACATACGGTAGCGAGCCGCATGGAATGGCGGTCGAGTTTCCAGGAGTACATCTGGAGCGTAGCCGTCGGGCTCGAGTAGGTTGCGAAAGGATACTGGAATGCCATTGTTGTCCGTTCGTAGACGGTGCGGGCATTTCAGGCAGGTGGGATGGCGTGTTGCTTGCGCACACGGCTGACTCACCTGCGCTGTTCGGGCCCACCGCAGATCACCCAAACAGGCAGTCCCTGATGGTGCGACGCTCCCCAATGGATCCCAGTGTGGGAATCATATGATGCGGTGAATAGAGGGAATCCGGGGTAAAGGGCCGGGACAACAATGACATTGGAGCGGCGTTTGAGCAGCGGCGCTAAGTTTAGCACGCCTGTCCCTGCCGCGTGCAGTCCCCGACAATCACCACCCTCCTCTTGCCCACCACACTCCCCGCTCTTTTCTTGCTTCTCGATGCCCAATGCCTGTGCACCTGCGTCTGGACGATCTGGACATCGATGTGCTTCAACCATGCATATGGGCGGTTCACAGATACAGCAGTGTCGGCCGTCGCCGATGCCGCCGGCCATGGAGAGCGGTGCAGCGCTACGAGGCCTGCATATGGCGCATGCGACGGCAGCTTCTTTTCGCTCCTGGTTGATGTTCCTCCATTGCGAATGTGAATGCCAATGCGTCGGAGGCATCAGGCAGCTGCGCCAAGGAACCGTGCCCCTTGCCGCATCAGGCTGTTTTCTCTCACACGTTTTCTCTCACTTGTGATGATATATTTGGGTGTATCGCGCTACACGTGGGATCTAGGCGGAGACCATCCCGACGCCCAGGGAACAGCCTGCCGATATCTGCAGCGCATCTCCACCTAGAAGCGAATGCCAGAACTAGACACGCTTTTAATGTTATGGTGGAATATACTGGGTGCATGTTCCAGCGTTATTCAGTATTTATAGCATTCTGGTGGATGCGAGATGATACAGGCAGGGCCATGCAAAAGCATGCAAACGAATGGATCGCACGAGCACAGTTGCGGCTGGCAGTTACTAGTCGCGATTGTGGCTCTCGCGCTCGTGAGTCGCAGTTGGTTGCCATAAATGGCTGGTGATGGTGGCCCTGCCCCGAGCGCTTGGAGTCCAAAAAGCGATCTCTCTGACGGTGCATCTATTGCATCCCGCCATGTCCTCCTCACTGCTCGTGCTGTACGAATCGCTCTTTCCCCTCCACGTCGCGCAGTTCTTTGTTCGCTATGCCACCAAGAAAGAATACGTCGGCGAACAGCGCTACGAAATAATGCGCCGTGCACTCTACCCCCCGATCATCCGCAAAAGGCCCTCCCCCACTGGGACTTGGAGACCCCAATGTCGGGCGGCGCCTCCAGCACGCGAATGGCTTCCTGCAGGCCCATGATACCATCGAGCGTGCGTGGCATCTCCACAAACGACACATCCGATGACAGCGGCAGGCCGAGCTGGAGAGAAAGTTTTGCTGCATGCCAGCATGCGATGGAGGTGCTGATGAAGATCAGTCCGAACTTATATGCAGAGGCGAGCAAGGAGGAGGACCTGTGTGTGTGGACGAGGAAGGAGACAGATTTTGCAAAGACATTAAGGATCTCAGAGAGGAAGACGTTAGAGGCGAGGGTGAGGGGACTGTTTCCCAGAGAGTTGCGTATACCGACGGACACGCAGTCACGGGATGGCTGAAATTATGATTGGAAGCCCATCATTCCATGACGCGCATAATTTTGTGAGCAACTTTGTATCGTATTTCTCCTCGAAAGCTCATGATCACCATCAGATATGGGAGGATGCATGCTCATCGGCGTGTATGTGTTGCCAACACTGGCTTCCCCAGGGTCTCACTCTGTAACATATGATGTTGCCCCATAATTCAACTCACGCACAACATAACCTGCCAAGATCGCATGAGACATGGCAGCGATTGCATGAGAATGAGAATGTATGACAATCGAGTACACGGATGGTCAATAACAGACAGCAGGTCTGGTCCTCTACCACCTCCCTTCCAGCTCTCGAATACTGGATCCGAACGGATTTGCACCCATGCCAAAGTCCGTTTCCTTGTTTCCGCTCTGGTTCTTGGCGACCACAGACGTGTGTCGAGTGCTGCATAACATTTCTTCTCGAGACTCTGTCTGGTCGAAAGCAAAGTCACGTTAGGCAAGGATTAGCGAACAAGCAATGAAGACCGACTTATTCTCGAGCTCAAGCCGCATCGCGACTTGATCAATCTTTCCTTCTACCTTGCCCTTGAGGATTAGCCCAATGAGGAGATCCTCGACCTCGTCTTTGTCAACGTTGAGTTGCTAAGGCAAGACGAGTCGTTAGGAGGAACTTGTTACAACCAGCCACGATGCCTACCTTCGCGAGGAAAGAGAGCTCGAGACGCGTGTACAATTTGATCAGGTCGATAAGGTACTGTGTGCGCAAGCTGCGTAGCAATTCACCAATGTACGCCTTGATGAAGGGATCGCCCATGATTGTTGACTCATTGTCTTGAAGGATGTCATTAAAATGACCTGCGACCAGGGGATGAGACATCTTACCGTGCAGAATCTTTTCAGCGGCATGCACTTCTCGCCGTTGATACGCATCAATGAGGTCTGTCATCGCCTTGACCTGTGGATCGTTCTTGTATCTGTGATTCACCGATAAGACTATGCTATAAGCGGCAGAGGTGTATACATACGGCTTCGTTTCTTGGCTGTCGAATGGATTCACCTCACTTCCCGTGAGCATGTTCACGAGGACGAGATACTTGAGCACTTGAATATGCTGCGGGGATCCGGCTTCGTTGTAGTTCTTGAATGATTCAAAGAAGTCTTCGCTCGCACTGTTCCATTGGCCTACCGAGAGATGATATGTAAGAGTTCTAGGAAGGTTAGCAGACAGAACAGTAAGCGTACGTTCACCCATCCACATCTTGCCGCCACATTCTTTGATGACCCCCATGATACGCGGGTGAGGAATGGCGGAGCGGACAGAGTTCGATGCATTGTAGATTTCCTGAGAGGGCATTCATACAGAGCTTAAAAGATATGTGCATTCACAGATGACGTGCCTTTAAATTCTTGAAGTTCTTCGTCTCATTGTGCATCTGGATCTCGAGCGCGTAGATCTCAAGTAGTTGAGTACCTTTCTGTGCCATATCTTCCCCATCACCGTTGGGAGTCATTTTATGCAACTCTTTGAGGACCTATGAGAATACCTACGTTGAGAACAGCTCGACCACTCAGAACGTAGTAACTTTACCTGCGCTAGGCGACCGTACTGCTTGCGATCAAGCCAAAGCTTTGCGAGCTTGAGATTCGTCTTCGCGTTGAGCCTCTGATCAAATCAGCATCAGAAATACCTATCATCATCGTCATCAAGATGCCAACCTCATTCTTCACCTCCAACAGCGCAGTCTTCGTGGCTTGGTAGAACTTTTCCAATACCTCATCACCCACTGGTCCTCCCTTACTGCCACCAACGTAGTCCAGGATACCGTTGATGGTTTTCTCGGCATAGTTTCGTGTGACAGTGGACTTTGTGTACGTGAGCAGCTGTCGATAGGTATTGAGCGCGTCGTTTGGTCTGTGTAGTGTCAGGAAGAGAAGCTTTGTTAATTGCTTGAGCGCTTTGAATCCCCTTTGTGAGGTGATGGATGCTTCAGCTCGGAAATTATAGGTATCAATACGATCAGACGCACCAGTCCCCCTTCTCCTCTTCCTAATCTACTATAGCGCGGAATTCCTTTAAGGCTTGTTCCGGATTATCCTCCTTCTTTGCTGGAAGACAATCAGCACAGGTATGAGGTCGAACCGCATTTGACCTACACTTGGCAGTATAGTACATGTTCTCGACATCGGCGCTGCCGGCTTCATCGCCTGCATCGTCATCAGAATAATCGAAGCTGTAGTCCTATCAGAGACTTTAAGATAGTAATAGAAGTAGGTTAATCTGAAATATCCACCTCGTCATCGCTGCCTTGCATGTACTTGGCATCATCGTCATCCATCGTTTGAAATTGCTTGTGAAGAAAAAGAACTGCAGTCCTTTAGGTCATTTGAGTATACCATCGCAGCAGACTCATCGACTGGTCCACATGCAAAGAGAGTTGCGCTAGGATCAGTGAGCAGGGAGGGAGGGAAGAGGCAGTGCAAGTATGCGTATGAGGGCTTCGCTTCGATGCAAGCGCCACAGCTGTGCTTCGAAGGATGAGGTCACGTGCCACAGCGTTCATGCGATGCGATCAGATCTCGGGGCATGAGAAAGTGATCGACATTGATCCACCTTCGAGTATCCCGCTCTCGTCTGAGAATGTGCTGTGCAGCCCTCGCTTATAACGCTGCAAGTGTCGTGAGTTTGGACTCGGGAGATCCTGCGAGGAGAAGACAATGAATGGCGTAATTCATTCATATGTGTTCGAGCCACCTGTTCTGTGCCACTTCAGCCTTGGCCTAACTATAAATCAGGGTACACGACGATTATCCACCGAGCACAACGATTTCTTGCACCGACGTGATCTTTTGGGTATTTTATTTCACAGGCATAGTTGCTTCGTCAGAGTTGTGGCCAGGAGATCCACGGCTTACATAAGTAACACGGTCACGTCTGATTCTGCGACACCCCTCGGCTCTTCCTGCTACATCCATGTCTCCTTCTTCGTTCTTGTAAATACCCAGCTGCTGGAGGTGATGGAGTCAGATGCCAACTCTGCACACGTACTCTCTTTCAATGAACCATTATCGAGATCGCGAAGCAATGCGAAGACAGTAGATGATATCACGAGCATGAAGAAGATGAACATGACCAGTCTTCGTACGCTCTTGTCACCTCGCTGTTCTCCAAAGTTGAGAACACTCTTGCTGCTCCTCTCTCTTCTGCAGCTGCATCTGCTGTCACTGAAAACATACATCATACTCCTCAGAACCATGTCCAAACCGCCGTTTCAAAATGACCATTCATCTCGAACCACGCTTCAAACCAGTCAAGCGGGTCCTCTGTCAATCGTCACAGCCTGTTCAGTGTTGCAGCCTCCAATCCTGCCCCTTCTTTGGTCTCAGACACTCTGTCATACATCACATAACTGGATCGACCTCCATCGCGAAATGGCTCTTTCGACTTGCCTGACACCCCGGACGGTGGAGTGTATGGTACTGCTATCCCAGGTTTTCCTATACAAGACAGCGATGCCAGGAGCATCAGAACTACAGGTAGCATCTGGAGGTCTGCGTCAGTATCCAAAGTGATCCGAAGGATCCGAGGAGAAGGTGAGTTTGGCTGTGTGGGCAGACCGCCAATTGGTTTACTCAGATGCTTGTAGAATTGTCTCGAGACTACTGGATGAATGATGAGCTATGCACAGAGTGCTACAATTGCAAGAGCATGTTCGCTGCTTGGCGGAGGAAGCATCACTGTCGCATAAGCAGTAAGTTACATGCCATACTACATGCCATGCATATATTCTCATGCTTGTGTAGGGCAAATCTTCTGCTCTCGATGTGCTTCCAATATCATCAAGGGTGCTCGTTTTGGCCATAATGGCATGGTGCGGGTGTGCAACCTCTGCCTAGAGAAGTTGACCAAAGTAGACGACGACGATAGGCGCTCAATAAACTCCAGTATGACCTCTCCCTTCGCTGCTCACCAGCTGGGAGAGGCTTTGTTGTTTGTCCATTCTTATCATCTGCAGTTGCCATTCACGGCCTCACAGCTCTTCAGGTGCACAGATGAGCCATTCAACCTGTTTTCCGTAGTGAAAACGAAGATATATCCTGATTCTGATGACAGTGCTCTTGCGTCGCCCCTCTCTACATTTCTTGATGAAATTCACAGAGATCGTCTCGGTCGTGAAAATCCAGTTCCATTTCGCAGGGCATTGACCGAAGAAGTCCAAGACTCAGTGGCCTTCCCTGATAAGTTCACGAGCGAGAATTCCCCAACTGCTCCTGGGACCAAAACACCTATCGACTTTCCTGTCACAGTGCCGATCTCTGCCATTGGGTCGATGAGTTCCATGCAATTCCCTGTTACCTCACCTGATCAAGGGCATCCGTTTGAGAGTTCAGGCATGCTCCGGTCATGGTTCAATTCATACATAGATCTCGAAGCATAGAGTCCGTTCATCTGCAGTCACGTACAGAGTGGTATTAGAGAGCACTTGACAGGGCACCCCGGCTGTCGTACATGGACAGAAAGCATCACGTAAGTGATATCAACCTCTATGGAATAATTATTGAATGATACATTTTCCCAGATACGCACAGGAATTGAACTTGATCACTATGTTTCACCTGAGGATCATGCTTCGGCAGATGCTGTTAGCTGAGGACATTCCCAATATTGACGATCGGGAGGAGATGCTTTTGAAACTCAGCATGCGCATCGCTTGCGAGTCAACATTCACTGCCCACCCCCAGAGGCAGGGCGCCGACATGGATGTCCATTGATATGTTAAGATCAAAAGATCCCCAGAGGCGTGTCAAAGGATTCTGAGTATGTGGATGGCACTGTCATCACCAAGAACATCACGTCTAAGCAGATAATGCAGATGCAGCGTAATCCTCATGTCATGCCAGTCACATTTTCCATGGAGTTCCATCGAGTGGAGGGGCAATATATGCACTTCGGCCAGATCTTGCAGCAGGAGAAGGACTACCTAAACAACTTGGCTACTCGTATTTCAGCTCTGCGGCCACACGTCGTTCTGGCAGAGAAGTCTGTCTCCGGGCTGGCTCTCGATGCTCTCGCAAAACACAAGATTGCCGTCGTGAGGATCGTTAAGCCATCCGCCATCGCCTTTGTTGCTCGGATGACACAAGGAGATGTCTTCTCATCCATGGACAAGCTTGCGTTGGAGCTGCACCTCGGACACTGCACAGGATTTCGCATCCAGATGTTCAACCATCCACTCATTCCTGGTCATCGCAAGACATACATGCACTTGGGGGGATGTAACCTGGAGATGGGCTGTACGATCATGCTCCGTGGTGGTGATATAGATACCCTTCAGCACGTGAAAAGAAAGTGACGCACTTCCTCGCATTCATCGTGTGCAACCTTCAGCTCGAACCTCATTTGTGGAAGGATTGCGTCATCACCTTGCCGGTGCTGACGCCTGAAGCTACCCCTCCTGTTCAGTCATCAGCTAACTTATCAGCTCTCGAATCGGATGTGTCGATGCCATCTCAATTGACTGCTACTGATGCAGAAGACACTGTTCCAAGCAATTGTTGATGCAACTCCACAATGACTTCCTGCAAGTGACAACGTGGATGATCTTCCAGATGAAGATGCAGAAGAAGTGCACTTGTCGCGGCACATTCAGGAGTCGATTGAACCATATCGGAAGACTTTCCTCTCTGTCTCGGCTATCCTTCATTACCCACCCCCATATCCTATCAGCTGCATGAAGGAACTCGATGATGAGCTCACGCAAATTAAGCAGGAATGGGAGGATGAGGTGATCTGTAGAGAAGAGTGGGGTTCTTCGAAGCATCAGCAGGAGGCAACCATTACACAGCAGAGCATCATGCCCACGGTCACACCTGACATGGATGATGTTGCGGCGCAGATAGAGTCTCTTCCGCTCTCAGAGGTACTCGACATGCCCATTTCCAGTGACGATGGCTCAACTCCTGCTGAACACACCAGATACTTTGAATCCCTCCTTGCATTGCCACACACTGCAGCACTATCGCTTCCCCAAACACCCTCAGAGGAGCTGCCAGTCAAAATGGTCACTGTTGAGGACATCAGACTTGAAAGTCGCCTGAATTATCTGAAGTGGCAACATTCCGAGTACTGCCGAGTGTGGGAATGGTATCTGCGCAAGAATAGGGATGACTTTAACGTGGAGAAGTACCAGTGCATAAGTTTGTGGGAAATCACCCTTCCCATGACAGAAAGCGGGTTGCATCCTGCTTGCTTTCCTCCTCATCTAAGATACATCACGTTCTATGGTGAAAATGACTGCACTCATCGGCCACTACATCGAGCAGGTGGCAAGAGATGCCTTTGCGCAGCTCATGGACGCAAAGGCAATCTGTGAGAACAAGGCATGCAATCAACCCCTGGCTCAGCATCACACTGTCTATGTGCATAATGAGAGTCGTCTTCTAGTCACAGTTGAGCAGTGGGATGGGCAGATCAACCAACGTTCGCTGCCTCCTGACACGATCATTACCTGGAGTATCTGTTCTATCTGTGAACAGGCCACACCATTCATTCCGCTGTCTCCAGAGGTATACAGAGATACTCTTTCACCAAGTTTCTTGAGCTCCACTTTTATCCTGCAGATGTGCAGCTTGTTCCAGGTGTGGGCTGTCAACACAACATTTACCAGCATCATATCAGATGCTTTGCCATTCAGCAGATGATGATACACTTCCAAGCAGATCCTGTGGTCCTGCATGAGGTCGTATATCCTCCTATGCATGTACTAGTATGACCAGAAATGCAGCTTGAAATCAAGAACAGCGATTTCGAGCGCTTGCATACAAGGAACAACATGTGGTACACTGCGCTCATCGACAATCTCAAACTGATCAACATCGATGCAGCTACTGGTGATGAGGAGGCGGATGCAAAACTCATTATAGAGATCAACCAGCTCATCATCAGAGGTGAGTGGAAGAAGGCAGATATTGCCAGGCTGATCAATACAATCTACAGTGAGACTGCTACCACAGATACTCTTGCTCTCAATCAAATCAGAGCCTATTGGCAGAATAAGATGGTTGCATGGCAGCAGGACTTCGATAAGCTGCCAAAACTGAAGGTGACGCAGTTACTCGATCGCAACAGCCACAAATCTTCCGTGTTTGGCTCTGTTCATGCTATGTTCCCTAGGAGATTCGAGCACTTTCGCTCGAGAACGCACACAACATTTCAGAAGCCGAGGACTATGGTCGCGTCATTAAGAGACAGCTTACAGGAGGTTCTCTCATGTCGACGTCATCCACTTCTGATGCTGTGGAATCAGAATCGGTCATGGACAAGACCGAGCAGAGTGCTCTCACTGAAATGGCCCCATCGACCATTGGCGATCAGCTGCCCATGGCTAGTTGCACAGAATTGGAGCCTTCCCTGAGATCTGACGTAGACAGCGACTCTACGATCGGTGCAACATGCGCAGAGCAAGTTTCTATCGAACTTTCAGTGTCTCCTCAGATACTGCAACTTAGCTTATGATGTAATGAGCATCTTACTGATATCTGACCTATAGGTTGATCACAATGTCCCAGATATCACGCACACATTGCAACGTACCTCTCAGTTGCCGAGATGTCTGACAAATTATCCAAGTGTCGCTAAACTTGTGAAGAAGTATCAGGACTATCTCCCCACTCAGGGTGTTGAAGAGCTGACAAAAATGGCCCTTCCACCTGCTGCTCTTGTTTGTGAAAGTGAACAGGAGACTTCTGCTGACCTTCCGCCCCCCAGTGCAGAACAAGTCTCGTTAACGAATGATCAACAGAAAATTGTCTATTTCTGACTTTGAGTTGAGCTATGCCATAAACGACATGCCCAGATATCTCACACATGCAAGATGTATGCTTTGCCCAATGCCATACAGTGCTCGGCTACCTCTACCTGCAATTCCATTCGAGTCTCGTACAACATCGCGGTGTGCATCTCTTGACAAGTGCTCTGCGGTCTTTCATTCAATGCTGATGCGGCGAAGATTGACAAGAACTCACCACCGCTCAGTAGGTTGAATTCCCTTGCAAACAGGAGGGGGAAGGCAATGAATCATCCCACTGGTACAGAGAAGGCAACCTCATCACGCTTCGCAGGAGCCCACTGTCAAGAAGTCACCAGGGCTGGGAAGCAAGGTCTCCAATATTGCCAAGCACTTCAAGCGAATCAGCAAGGATACTGAGTGGGCTGGTCATGGGTACAGTGTCATTCATGAATGGTGACCCCATTCTGTTGCATCAGCCTGTGCAAAGGTGGAGGTTCTTGATAGCATCAAAGATGCGATTCAAGATGAATCAGAGAGCTCAAACTCTAGCGAAGCTGACAATGAAGGGGATGGTGATGACGAGATGGGAAAGTCACCCAGACAGAATCAGATGGAAGCAAGTCATTCATCGGAGACATTTGACTCAGGACAATATAGTCAGCCTATGAATGTGCCTCCTCAGAAGGTCATTGCCAAAGTCGTTGAAGATGCACAGCCACAGGGAGAAGAGCGGTCTATTTCTATAAATGGAGAACCCCTACAGACACTTGTGCCTACTATCTCAACACCCAGCTCCCCGATGTTGATGGCAATGAACCATGCACTGATACTGATGGCCCCTATAACTCCTGAACTCAATGTTGGATCGACCAATACTGAACGTTATTCTATTCTGAAGACTCTCTGGCTTCTGACCTCAGCAACTCCCACAGTCTCACATCTGTGCAGATGTAGACGCCGACGATCTGTTAGCAGATCCCGAGCACATTTTTTGTGACTCATCAATGGTAGTATGAACTGACGAGCCTACATCGATAATTGCTCTCGCTCTGAAGTAAGTATCACCACCCTCTCTCACCATGGTCTTCGGACGTTCAGTCATTAATGCTCAGCTGCAGTTCCCCACAATACTGAGATATGTTGGTGAAGTCACATGCTGTGAAGCGCCAAACGAGAGAGCTGAAGTTGACAGATGGTGGTGAAGCATTCATGCCTGATGACAGATCAGTTGCTGAATCAACCTCCACATGGGGAGTCATGAATGTAGATAGTCCTGAGACTTATGATCCCATGGAAGAGCTACGGGTTCCCTTGTCGAAGCAGCCATGGGCTATATGTGAGCGCCTGTCCTGATCGCATATGAGACATTGGCTAATTCTCTTGGCAACCTTTGAGAGTGGAGGATTGACGATCGCTTGTACCGTCCTCTATCCTGAGCAGTTTCGATGTGCTCCATCGTACGTATGATTGTGAATGGAGTATGGTTGAGTCACGTGCTCAATGTGTCAAATGGAATGCCAGCGAAGGGAAATCGGGATCTGCATTTCTGAAGACCCTTGGTAGGTTCCACAATACGTATACACGTACATTCCAGTCTAGCTAATGCAGCATAAGACGATCGCTTCATTGCCAAAGAGCTTTCAAGAGCAGAATTACAGGCAATGGAGACCTTTGTGCCAGCTTATTTTGACTACATGTCATCTGCGGTGGTTGTCAATGTATGGTATGAGAATGCACTTTAGTAGATCACAAGCTGATGGAGCATGCAGCACCCTACACTCCTCACAAACATTTTCGAATGTTTCAAGCTGACCTTTAGGACATCCCATAAGCACTCAGGGCCAAGCAGAGGAAAGGCAATGCAGATAAACTTGCTCGTAATGGAGAACCTCTTCTACGATCACCGTTTCTCTAAAGTACATCCTACGGTACAAATCTAGGACAGTACAGTGCTCAAGTGACGTTTCAGATCTATGACTTGAAAGGATCAATCTGGAATTGTCACATACAGTGTACTGGTCGAGAAAATGAAGTACTTCTGGATGAGAACCTGGTGGAAAGTGCGTATCCGCTATGTTGAAATACGTATATTGTTTTTGATGTGTCATTCTCCTGAAGCTGCACATTTGGCACCCTTTTACTTGCGTGAACATTCAAAGCGAAATTTACGGGGTGCTCTTTTCAATGACAGCAAGTTCCTGGCTGAGATCAACACCATGGACTACTCCCTGGTGGTCGGTGTTGACAGTCTCAAGAATGAGCTTGTAGTAAGAATCGTTGATATGTTACTATTATTTCGCTGTCCCTTTTTTCAAATTAATCACAGATCATAGACTACATCAGAACCTACATGTGGGACAAGAAACTGGAAAGCTGGGTGAAAGACTCTGCTTTCCTGGGCAGAGCCAACAGAGGGGAGCTGACAATCATCAGCCCAAGACAGTATAGGCAGCACTTCCTGAGCGCTATGGAGCATTACTTCCCTTTGGTACATTTGGCAGTGTACTGGAAATGCTTTATGGTCTGATATGCAACATAGGTGCCTGACCGGTGGATGAAACAATATGATGCTCCTGAAGACGAGAGCAACACTCTCCTGGGTCTTTGGCCTGACTGGTGACTCTGAGGGGTTTGTATCTTGCCGTGTGGCTGTATTTGATATATTCAGGCTGTCATCAGTTCATAACATTGTACGGACCTTCCAAATACTGCCAATTGTGTACAATTAGCCAGTACATCATATTTTACACATTCTGTACATTACGTGCCATGTACTACAGACCCGCCTGTGATGCTCACTACATACATCTACTTCACAGCTTCCATCATTTATTTTTCTTATTCAAGAGGACCCGATTTTGCCGCTTAACCTCAGTCGAAAACTGCTCCTTCATCGCCTTCTTATCCGTACGCCGCAGCTGTCGCTCTGCTTTGATGGCTTGCTTTTGGGTCTGTTTGTCTTCTTTTGACTCATTCTTAGGTTGTGAGATGGTCACACGTTGAGCTGTAAACAGAGTGAGTAGCAGCAACTTGCACAAGAAAGCAATACTTACACTGTATATCATCATCTGAGTCAGACTCCAGCGAATCGGAACAGTCAGTCCTACAACGAGGCGCGTATTTACTATCTTCCATCAAAGGCAGACCTGTTTTTGGGTGATGGTATTTTTGGGACAGGTCTGTCTTGACGAGCTCTGATTAGCCGAGGATGATTCTCCAAATTACTATACGTAGCTTTGAGGGAGATTAGTCCAGGAAGAGCAGTGGTGAGCCGGCACTTAAACATACATAGAATTGTTTCACAGTCCCATTGGTCCTTCTTTTCATCAATATCATGTGGCATTAAGATATCATCTTCTTCATCTTCCTCATTTTCCTCACGCAAGCGGACTCCACCCAGTGCTTTCAGATCATATCGAGTTTCTCTGTGCCGGTTTCGCCAGCTAGAGCGGGACACATTTTTCCACCGAAGATCTCGTAGTTCTCGAGGAACTCATTCATCATTGCATCGAAATCTTCGCGAGAGGTGATCAACTCGGATGCTTCATCGGAATCGTCGAAAAGGGTATGGGTTTCTTCATTCTCTTCCGAATTGTATTCTCTTTGTATCTAGGACGATCCCGCTTGGATAGACGAACATATCGAGGCTGTAGATCTCAAGATGAGCTTACGTTATCGAATTGCTCATCTATCAGCGTAAGACCTTCATTACGGAACATGGACAAGCTGCTCATGCTATATCCAGATGCATCAGAAGTGCCTTTTTGCCGTTTCTTGCCTCCGATGACAGATATCTGAGGAAGTGCCCCAATAGTGTCACCGCCTTTTGAAGATGCATCCATGTCAGAGCCAGCACTGCGTAGGCCATTCTTCTAAGCTTGCTTGAACTGTGTGAAGCGCGCTTCCCATCCTGTTCTTTCAGCATCGTCGAGATCACTATTGGCCTCATCTCGTGCATCCGCTTCATCATGGCCATCTTCGATACCTTCATCCCTGAACTCGAACTCAAGATGTCCATCTGAGGCTAGCTTTCCATCTGCCACGAGTTCTCTGAAGAAATCATCATCGAGGTCATCGTCCACAAATGCGTCGTCCTTGAGTGCCTGTAGCACCTGACACAGGTGAGGATCGAGCTCGGGGTTAAACTGGCTATTGACAATGGAATGCTCTCTTCCACTTCATAGTTGCAGGGGACCTCGGACGTCGAGGGCAGTACCTCAGGAGGCAAGTCGATCAATGTGATTGGCTCTTTAGCTTTTTCCTTGGCTTTTGATGGGGCTTCTATGAGTATGCTATCGAAGCCATCCTCTTGCATACCGACTGGGCACAAATGCTGCATATAATTGTATACAGTGTCATCGTAATAGACACTGTATAGCGCAGCCTCTCCAATATTTTTGCGCTCAGTATCATGAGTCAGATCTGAGGGAGATAGAATTTGCTCGAGCTCTGCTCTCGACTTTCCCTAACTAATTCACCCGTAAATCACAGAATGTGCATAGAGTCATTATGCTGAACCTTGACAACATTGCCCCGCTCAAATGCCTTTAGAACATGTTGGCTCACCTCCGGGTCATGTATTAGGGAGTCTCGTTGTGACCGGTGAATGAGCTGGAAGTGTCGTACACCAGGCTCTTGGAATATGGATTTGGTGGGCATCTTGTATGCTATGCAAATTTGTGTCGAAGGAGGAGATTTGTGATGAGATTGCAAGATTCACAATTTGACATGAAGACCATACGGTCGGCACTTACGAGTTCAGTGTTCTATTATGTAATCACCACTTCTTGATCTCGGTCGAGCACGTCGAGTGCAATGACCGGCCACTCCTCTCAACCAATACACTCACCTTCAATTCGACCTGCCATACAGAGGGAACACATTCACAGAGGTTTCTCCATATACGTCCTCTCATTAATCTCACCCGTTGACATCTGGTATTGATGCCACTTCTCATCTTTACTAGTCATCAAAAGGTCATCCTTGAGATTGACTTCTTAGGAAGCATCTGGGTGCGGTTACACTGTCAGATTTGCCATGCCGGCATTCTTATTCCTGCTACAGGGATATACGGAGATCACAGTGGTGAGAACAATAAGGATCTCAAGACTCTCCATCTGCATTCAAACAATGCAGTATGTTCTCGACCCTAAATGTCATTGCATTACTCATCATCGTTCCCCTCAGCGATCCACTCCATTATCGTCACCTCCCATCCAGCAGACTTTATGTATCACGATCCTCTGGCAAGCCTCAATGTATCGAACCCACAGAATGTCCATCTTCATCATGAGCTCAAGAGGAAGGTGTATTCAGCACTGTAGAGGGCAAAGAGGGTGAACTCTTCATCGTGATACCAAATGAGGTGTCTTTGAGGCAGTCAGGACATGCTGTCGCTGTGCTTGTGAGTGAAGGTGCGGTGTCTCTGACATCATTATCATATCTTTGCTCATTCTCGTGACAGCTGCAATCCTGAAGCCTCAAATGCCAGGCTTGAACATGCAGGCCACGCTTCCAGTTCCTGAATTTGTTCCCATTAACATCAATATAATCTACAGCATGCAGAACCCAGTTGATGGCATCCAGTTTGTCATATCAATGGATGCGTATCCATATGTGAGTGTACTCTCTCCTGATCAGTAGTTATACCTGCTAAGCCTTGAGGCAGCGTGTATCACATGTGTACACGACACCCTCATCTCCCGATGCTGCATGATGCTGGGTTCCTTGCATCAACAATTTGTGGAAAAAGTGCACATGGGATTTTGAGTTCGTCATCCCAAGATATCTTGAGCAACAGGAGTCTGCACCCGAAGATGACGGAGAGTTGCTGGAAGGTGATAACTCCACCATTGTGGTCTGCAGTGGAGAGCTTGTTGAACAGGTGGCTCATTCTTGCAACTCGAGCAAGACGATCTTCATGTTTTCTCAGAACACATCAACCTCCGTGCAGCACATCGCTTTTGCTGCAGGGCCATTCCACGTCCACTCCATTTCAGCTGATTTGAGTGCCACTGAAGACGTGTCTGGGACTTCACAACCTCTAATGCATGTGTTCTACTTCCCGGGTCATGAATCGCTGCTGGGTACTTTTGTATCCTTCATGCGATCTGCAATGAGCTTCTATTCTACCGAGTTTAGATCATATCCATTCGGGTTGCACAAGCTCATATTCGTCGACGAGATGCTGACGCAGTGGTTTGATAGTGCCACACTTTCACTCATCACTGTGGATCTGCTACAGGGCAAAGATGCGATCGATCAGGTCCTCAAGATCCGCCATTGTTTGAGCCATGCTCTTGCATGCCAGTGGATTGGCATCAACATTCAGCAAAAGACGTGGTCAGACACTTGGTTAATGAATAGACTTGGATTGTATATCACAGGACTTTTCATCTGGAAGCTCATGAGGAACCATGAGTACCGATTCCGATTGAAGAAGGACATGGAGTGCATGCTCGAGCTCGATAATGGGTTCATGTCACCGATTTGCCAGCCACAGCTCTTTGAGCCTCCAGACCCAGTCACTCTGGCATTCATCAACCTTAAATCACCCCTCATACTTCACATCCTCGATCGGCACCTAGGGAAATCTGGCACATCCCTCGAATTGTCTCGTGTCCTTCTCAAGGTGTTCTTGTCTGCTATTAGCGGAGAGCTACCGAACAACACGCTCTCGACTCATTTGTTCCTGAGGACTTGCCGCAAAGTGAGCGGCATTGATCCACATTCGTTTGCAGAACAATGGATATATGGCAGTGGCTGTCCGATGTTTGGGTTCTCTGCCACCTTCAATTGCAAAAAGATGGTGGTGGAGATCTCAATGCACCAGGAAGCCCCAGCATTTAAGGTTCACGAGAACAATGAGGTGACAAAGGTGCTCATGAAGCCAGCTGCAGTGCTGTTCTTCGAGGTGTGAATGACACTTTTTGTTACTTCTCACAAATCTCACACAAAGAGCAGGGCCAGATGACAATACATATACACGAAGCTGATGGCATGCCTTACGAGCACATCCTCAACATCAGGAGTTCTTACAAATGCTATGAGGTTCCATTCAACACCAAGTACAAACGTGTGCGGCAGAATACAAAGCAGTATCTTGCCTGTCAAGCTGCTGCACAAGCCACTGCAGAGGGTGATGCAGAGGCTGTGGCTGCTATGAATATGGTGAACATGGGTTTCGGTCTAGACATCTGGGAGAATGAGAGGGAGTGAGAGAATTGAAAAGTCACTGACTGGACTGAAGAAGATGAACAGAACATGGCTGGGCAGATGTACGAGTGGATACGGATTAACACTGGCTTCGAGTGGATTGCTGCTATTGCCTTTGACCAGAAGGATTATATGTGGGTCTCACAGTTGCAGCGCGACCGGGATGTTGGTGCACAGTATGAGGTAGGTCTTGTCAAAGCTGTCATACTCAGTATATCAACAACTTCTCTTGTTTTTTTTTTCCTTCTTCTCCAGGCTATCCAGGTATTGTTGAAGACACCAAATGCCATGATATCGAGCACATTTGCCAAGACAGTGCTTGTGTCCAATTACTACTTCCAGATCCACTGCGAGGCTTCATAGGCTCTCATCACTGTAAGTATGCATTCGATGCAATGCTGAGATTGATCAAGCTTCTGAAGGCGGCTATGTGACTGACCATCCTGCAGCTACTCAGAAGCCGGTCTCGTTTGCCATACCATCAACTTCCTGGGGACTGTTGATGGCCGTGACTGTTCAGCCATTAAGGAGCCAGCCGGAGAGCGACAAGGATTTGGTTGCTCACAGAATTGTGGGGGTTGGCCGGCCACGTGCAAGCACAATGTTGAACCCATCTGTGCTGTTATTGATTCATGACCATCAGGTGTGGTTCAATGACCCGAGGTTCAATGGGAGCTTCCAGAGTCGGGTGTTACCCTGTTTGTACATTGGTAACTTGTGCATATCTTCATCTGTCGACTTTTGGAAGTCAGTGAGTCTTTTATTATAGGAACCATGCTACGAACGCATACATGCTGCATGCGCTCAGGATCACACATGTCATCTCTGTCAGTGAGTGTGCACTTATGCCACCACCTAACCTGGAGGTGTCTGCCTCAGAATCATTCTGTGCCTGTGCTGGCATGAACCCAAATGCGCAGTTTGTCCCTGGCAATGGCCCTGCATGGACATGGCTTGCTCTTCATTGAGGAGCATGAGGGCTGAATTAAGGTGCTCGACATACGGGGCATGTGCAATGATGGGATCGACATGCTGCAGCCACAGTTGCAGCCAATTTGTGAGTGGATCAATAGGGCATGCCAGGATGGAGGGAAGGTGCTGGTGCATTGTCGTACAGGCTGCGGTGTGACTGTCACGGTATGTCATTTGTTCATTTGCGCCATATAGGAAACTCGCTAGTGCCATTTGCAGATTGCATATGTGATGAAGCACCTGAACCTGCCTCTGGTTGACACCTACTTGATCGTTCACTCCCGTTGTCTCTCTGTCTAGATCCAGCCTAATATGAGACTGGCGTATAACCTCCTCAGATGGGAGGTTAAGCTGGCATGCCAGCGTGCAGGCAATGAAGAGTGCAAGCTGCAGGCTGAACTCACGTGGAGTCTCAACTGCCCATACCTCATGAAGGAAGTGCACGTGCTCAATGAGAAGTATCTGCACTAGTCCGCGGGCCATAGAGCCTATCTGTGCTTCCTTTGCTGCTTCGATGGTAGTCTAGGTTGCTGCCTTTGCATGCTCTGTGTCTGGTGCTGGTCCAATTGCATTGCATGATATCTATTTTCACTCTTGAACTCCCCAGAAGAGACACGCTATTCCTGATCTGAGACGATACTCACCGCATTCCTCACCATCATCGCACGTGCAATCTGTATCATCATTGTAGCAAGCATCATGGTAATACCATTTTTCTGTCTCTCCCACTATGCATCGCGTCCCCCCCTCTTCTCTGTATCATTGTACCATGCATACATTGTTGTCCCGATGTTCTCTTTCCTCTCCATATTTTGTTCATTAACTGTCATTGATATAACAGTACTTCGTGGTGTGGTTGTTGCAGGTCTGTCATTGTACATTCATGTAGCTAGTTAGACTTGGCATGCAGACCGAGTTGGTTCACTGTTATGCGAGTTGGTGGAGTCAGCCTCCCTGAATTTGCATGACACATGGGTGTCTGTTTATATCTTTCAAGCTCAGTAAGATCCGGTGCCTGTCCAGCCAGATTTATGAGCCTGAAAATGTCTGCAACGCATTGCAGACATCTGCTGAAAGGCATCCATTTATTAACCCCTTCACACATCTCTCATTTTCTCAGATACTTTCGAAAACAATATCATACACGATGAGATCAGAGCAGTAAATCTGCATATGGATTGCATTTGAAGAGATCATCACATGATGTCATGATCGCTTTGAGTGGGCAGCCCAAACATTCAGGTAAGAAGATACAAAAGAAAGGGTCACGTACAGCTGCAGCTCAGATCTTCAGCGATTAATTAGATTGAAGGTACTTCAAAAAATGTTCCATGGCGAGAATATGCATATGGCTAGACTGTCCGGACATCCCTTGCATAAGCCTGTGAATGGTTAATGACATAGATATACCACTCCTGAGAGAGGTCAGTTCTCTGCTGAGCTTAGCAGTACAATTGCCCCTTGCTACTTAATCATCTGTTATGTCACTTCACATTTTTTCCAAATAACAGAAAGTTATTTGGCCATTGACGCAATGGTACACTCGACAGCCTTACATAAGCCTTAAGCTGGCAAATCACCCTTTTGGGGTTTAGCATCTCGCTCTTACCTAATCTGTGGATGTGTCTCTACTTTGGGTGTTAGGAAACGTCCGCTGCCCCTCCCCCTTTCAACGCTGTTTTGCCCTTCACCCACTCATCGTCTAATGCACCTCACTGCCTTTTGAGATGTTGTCACCACTCAGTGCATTCTACAACTCACTTATGCATTGTTGCACATTCTTGTGCATTTGACTTGGTGAAGGTGAGCATTTACTTCATATTCGATATTTCGTTTTGTTGATCACTCTGATTCAGGGGTTGTCAAAACTTTGCTCAATGCATTGTATGACATCGTCCTCAGTGCAGTCACTGAGGCTATTTATTTTGTCTTTGCGCATTCGCATTGCTCGCTTAAGAAAGTTTCTAGTGTTCACTCTGATTCAGGGATCACAGAAACTTTGCTCTTTAATGCATTGTATGAAATTGTCCTCAGTGCAGTCACTGAGGCTGTTGATTCAGTCTTTGCATGTTTGCATTGCTCATTTACGAAATGTTCTGTCATCGATGGTGGTTCCCGATGATCATCTGCTGTAAAAGCCTCAGATGTGCAGGCTTTCCCTATCATGTTAGGTTCATGTTCGATGCATGTGTTGCACTCCATTGTGCTGTATCAGTGCCAGCTTAATAGGAACAAAGCCACATCTGGTTGGAATGAACAATTATGTTCAATTGCTGTCGACGTTTCATTATCCTTTCTCATCGCATGTTTCCCATTTTGCGCACTTCATAAGTTGACACGTTTTCACAACATCACTCTCAACCATCAACAACACTCATTGCAAGGGTGGTGTACTGTCTTCACTTCACACTGTTGCTCATTGTCTTGTCCATCTATGCTTTCCGTGTTCGACTTTTCTTCCGATGAGCTTCACAATGTCAGTGTCGATTCTGGTGACTCGTCTGTGTCTGGACAGCTGCTTCTATGCTTTCCACCTGTTTCACATGTTCTTCTCATGGCTAAAATGCATTATACTTTTGCTGGGGTGGTAGACTTCTCTTGGGGCATCGCTGTTGACATTCCCGAGCTGATTGTTGTCGACATCCCTTTATGCTTTTTGGTGAACAGGTTGTCATTTGCCGCACTTGCCAAGATCACAGGACAGCATGGGCTTCATCTGAGCAGCAATACTTGGTCTATAGAAGACATTGTTAGCAAACTGTTGTCTCATCAATGCTTACTGTGTGCATGACACTTCCCGTCATTCATTCCTATACCTTCGATATCATCTGTTAGTGCTTCTCAATGTTGTTCTGAGTACTCAATTGCTTCATCTGTCTCTGTGCATTCAGATTCTGTACTGCATTTTTCATCTGAGCCCATCTTCAATGCTGCAAAGCTTTGCCTCTATGGTGCATGGGATGATGGCCTCCAGTTGCCTTCTGTATTTGAACGGCCATGTGCGGTCTGTGCGACGTTAGTGCCCAGCCATCTCATTTCAATTGTCTGTGCTTCTTCGATTGATCTATCCCTGATCCTTCGAGAATGTGAGCCAATTGCCAGGCTGGAGTGTAAATCAGTTGGCGACACCATTGAATTCAATAATGGACCTATACTGTATGGTCCTGCAGTCCATACTATTGACGGTGTTCGATCGATCGACATCTGCACGAGTTGCTATAATATACTCCATATGAAAAGGATGTTATTGAAGGAGGCTTTGGCAAATGGACTTTGGCTTGGAGATGTTCCCTATGTGCTCAATGATATGCTCAACCACGTCCTGGCCATGAGCAGCACTCCTAACCAAACCTCTACTGGTGGAAGGTGAACTGGGGCTCTATCCATCCACGGTCCCTTTGGGCTACAGTCACAGGAAACTTCGGATGATAACGCAGTGACAGGTGACCATAAGTCGTTCAGCTGTGATGCTTGAAACAGATCAGATTATCACGACTTTCAGATCAGTGAGTGTCGGACTCGACTATAGAGACACTTCTGACTGGAAAACAGTCGAAAGCTGGAATGTGGGGGTGTGTGGATGTGGATTGTGAGTGGTGACTCCTGGGCTTGCAAACTGTGGTGGCTGAAGGTCTGAGCTGTGGCACGAGGACCTGCTATATCTGAAAAGCGCTGATAAAGCACTGATGATGAGGCCCTAATTGCCTCTGAACTGGGTGAAGTGCCGATGAGCAAACTCTAACTGCCTCCGAACTGGGTGAAGCACCAATGAGCAATCTCTAATTGCCTCCGAACTGGGTGAAGCATCGATGATGAAGCTCTGAGTGCTTCTGGCTGGAACGAGCACTGACGATGAACCCCTGGGCATCTTCGAACTGGAACGAGCACTGACGATGAACTCCTGGGCACTAGCGAGGCTACGGGGTTCGATGGGGATGGAATCCTGGTTTGAGACTCATGACTGGTGGCGTGCGAGTGAAATGCAATAGTGTGAGATATGAGAATGCGATAACGTGACTTATCTGGCTGAAACCTGAGTTGAGCTAGAGGCCACTGCTGAGAGTGCTGCCTCTCTCAGTGTCGAAAATCTCAAAGATGTAGAACATGATCGCAATAGATGTAGATGTGGTCGGGCATGATGCCCTAGCATGGACGAGATGAGAACTGAGCGCCGCTGGGTGGAGAAACTTTGAGTAAACTTTCTTGTTTTTCCTATGTACAATGTAGATTATATAGTGGATTGGAAATGAGCCAGCTGAGTTGCTGAAACGTGTTTCTGATCATACATTATGTTTCCAATCCATTGAAACCTGTCGCAAAGCTTGCTCCTGCTCCCTCTCCATATGATACAGTCAGGGAACTGGAGATCAGGCCCTGCCAGGGTCTGTCAGTCTGTTACCCTATCTTCCATTCAGTTAGTGCACTTGCTCATTTCTGAGTTGCCTAACCAGTTGTGTTCCACTTCTCACACTGCACCTTATAATCGACTATGCTTCCTCATGGCTCGCTCATCATTTCTGCACCTTATGTTCACCTTCTGACCCCTTTACACAGTTCCATGTTCTCAGGCTGTCAATAAAGCCTTCTTTGCCCACTCTGGACTGTTCCGGCATGGTGTTTGTCTTTCCGGATCGCAGCGATGCACTATCTGATTTTGCGATAGTTAGATGCAGTTTCTGGCATTTTCTGATCGCAGAATATCTCGGTGCATATCACCTTCCCCATTCTGAGATCTAGACCATCCTCAGTCCATCGAGCTTGTGTACTTTAGATAGCATGACACCGCTGTCAGTTTCTCAGTCCTTCGCAGCTATGTCCTACACCGATGGTGTCTTCAGCCTCGCTGCTCGCACTCGCAGTGTCTAACTTATTGACGGTGCTTGCATTCTGCTACTGCAGCACCTGAATAATCTTGTGTTTGCATCGTCTGCTCCTGATGCTCATGCGTTGGTCTGGCAAGGCTGGGCCACATCGTTTTCCACTTACGAGGTGAGTATTCCATGTCGCGATCTGCCTTCTGACAGTTAACGCTGCAGCCTTTCAGTTATGCATGACCTGCGACTATCCAAACTGTGCCAAGAGTTTGCTGCACGAGGTCAATTTAGTGTATGACTGGCTCATGCTGAACATGAGCCCCAACTTCAATTAATCATCTGAGATTGGCTCTCATCACATTCAGTGATATTGCACTCACCTCTGCTTGACCATGCATATATTGATATATCTCACTGTCACAGATTTTCACGTTTTCACCTCTGCATGTGACCAAGACATCACTTGACCTCAGCGCTAGGCTGTCCAGAAAGGAACGAACCGGTACGTGAAGTACTGACAGTTCTAGGTGCCCCGAAGGTTCA